CGAGTCATGGGACGAGGGCCTATCTTTTGAGTTGACTTTTTGACTTTTGGTCCTAAGCTTAGCATTTTCTTATGGGATTGATTCCTTTAGCTCGTGTTGATTGTATCAAATTGTTTATGGCTAGATTCGGAGTATCCGGAGGTCGATTTGAGGGGCAAAGACATCGCGGAGTAGGATTTTGGCTTGGTTGAGGTAAGTAACGCTTTCAAACTTGGTTCAGAGGGTTCAAAACCCCGGACTATGTGTTATATGATCGTATCGAGGTGACCCACATGCCAAGTGATTGGCGTGCGGGCGTGGACCGTAAGAAATGTGGCCTGGTTCATTCCATGGCACCACTTAGTGACTCTTTCTTGCTGATATTGTTGTTTCTATCATGTGATATTTTATGGAGATGGAGTTCTCCACATGGATGGATTTCTCTGGACATGGATTTGTCCGAAGTATTGATATATGGAGATGGATTTCTCTACAGGGATGGATTTCCCTGGACATGTATTTGTCCGAAGTATTGATATATGGATATGGATTTCTCCACAGGGATGGACTTCCTTTTTTTTCCTCGGTACCAAGTGACGTCTAGTCATTGTTGAGTATATTCCGGGATGGATTTCCCTGGGCCGGATGACCATATGTGGTATCGATTGGTTGAGTGTGTATACATATATACCTGGAGATGGATTTCTTCTCAGGGTTGGATTACTCTTGTTCTTCGGTACTGGATGACTTACTGTCAGCGTTGTATATGTTCTGGAATAGATTTCCCCGGGCCGGGTGGCCATATGCAGTACCGAGTGGTTGAGCGCTTGAGAGTGGGAGCACATAGTGCATTTCATACATTCTGTGCATTAGCATGCAGAGTTAGCTGAGCCTTATATTTTACATTGTTCAAATATGTATTTATTTCATTGTTGAACTATATTCCTGAAAGAATAGCATGCCTACTTTACTATGCAGCTTATCTCTATTTTCTGTTGAGGTTACGTTCGTCACTACCTATCAGTCCATAGGTTGGACTTGTTACTTACTGAGTTGGTGTACTCACGTTACCCCCTGCACCTTGTGTGCAGATCCAAGTGCTTTCGGTCCCAGTGGTAGTCATTGATTGAGGTTGCAAGCTTAGGAGATTGTTGAGGTATCTTCATGGCGTTCACAGATCTTGACCCTCCTTCTCTATTCTAATTGTGTTTCAGTTGTATTCAGTAAACATTGTAGTAGACTATGTTATTTTTCTAGATGCTCATGTACTCCGTGACACCCTGATTTTGGGTTGGTTGAATCGTGTTATGGATTTTGCTTTATGTTTTTAAATAGTTTATTTAAACGATGAAAGTGTTTATCCGCAAATGTTCTATTTACTAGTATTGTGGTTTGGATTACATTGAGTGGAGGTTGGCCTAGTTCCACGATAGGCGTCATCACGATGGGTTGAGTTTTGGGTTGTGACAATTTTATACAAGTCTTCACTTACAAATTGAAGAGAGATTTTGGTAATTGTCGTGGAAAGAGAAGTTGAGAAGATAACGGCATTAGTCTTCATTGCATCACTTTAAAACTTCTTCTCTCCACTCTCAGAAAGATGGTATATGTAGCAATCCTCAGGTTAAGGAGCCATAAGAGCATATTCACAAGAATATGATCATTCTTTCATCCTAGAATGTTAAGAATCTGGAATTGAGGTTGAGGTTACTATTAGATTCATTTCCTCCCTTTAGATAGATTAATTACTCTTTAACTAGATGATAAGGTGGTTTGATTTGGTATGCATATTTATAGTACTAGCTTTTTCGAATTACTCCTCCAATTTTACTGCTAAGAAAAAGTGTTAATCTGTCTCGCTCTCTGCACTTCAATGTCTTAATTTGTACTTTGTTTGTGGTAAACTCTGAGTAGATTTTTGAGTTTTGAGTGTTCAGAGCAATTTTAGTAGTAACATGTTTTGGAAAATTTGGTATAACTCTTATTTTTATGAATGCTTGTATCATTTTAACTTCTTAAAATGTTAAATTTAAGTGAAAAAAATTCAAAATTGTTAAAATAGGAGAAACCCACGAAGGACTGAAAGATGTGCCTCGCAAGAGGTTAGAAGAATTAAATTTATGGTGATGTGTTGGTACTATATATACTAGATATGTGTAGTATGTGTACGACTAGTAGTTGCATATTTATTTATATTAAAATTATATTGGGACTAATTAAATGTAGGATAAAATCAATCATCGGTTTATATAATTTTAAAATAAAAAGAGAAACTCTAATCGATAGTGTCATTGTTGAGATTTTTAATCGAGATTGAGTTGGTTAGATAGCAGGATTTCTGACTTCATTCGTAAGAATATTAAGGATAGATAATAAGTGATAACTTTTGTATATTTGGATTTGTAATTTATATTTCAATCTAATATTTGTAGAATATGTATATTTGAATTTGTAACTTAACCATTTTAGATTTAGATATATGTTATATAAAATTAATATGGGATACACGTGCAACGCACGTGCCCAGAAACTAGTTAGAAATAAGAACTATCTTCTCAGAAGAAGACTTCAATATTTGAGTGATACAAGAAGTAACGTCACGCCAGCTGATAAATATCAAATTTTGTGTTTTTTTTTCTTTCTTGAACCGACAATAAAATTTATCAATTATCTAAAAATCGGGTAGATTGAATAGTTTTCTCTATCCTTAACTAAAACTTTCACGTTTAAATTGCTGTCTCTTTAATAGAACTTATGCAACACGAACTCACCAAAAGGAAAAACGAAAATTTATAGTATGAAAATGAGGATATTTATTTAAAGCATTGTCGAGTAATACTTTCCTAAAAACTTTGCTAGTAATTTGAAAATGGATTTTAGTTATTTACTCTGATAGTATAAAACTTTTAAAATTATTAATTTAATTTAATATGCTATAGCAAATTAATTATCATTTCTTCAATTTCCTAAATTCTAATTATGGCTAATCATAAAAAATTATATTTAATTACGTTATAAGTGATCCAACTATGAAAATAATCGTCACTACATAGAATTTAAATTCAAATACTAAAGTATATGTCGAGGTTATCGCCGAGTAAGGTTATGAGAGTGTTTGGCTAAGCTTATAAGCTGGTCAAACTGGCTTATAAGTACTTTTTGGCTTATCTACGCGTTTGGTAAAATTAAAAGTGCTTATAAGCTAAGTGCTTATAAGCCAAAAATAAGCCAAAAATAAGCCAAAAGCCATAAGTTAATGTCCCCTAACTTATCAAATTTCAGTTTATAAGCACTTTAGGTTTGACCAAAATATTTACTATTCTATCCCTAAAATACTTCTTTTTAAAACAAAACTCTTTGTATACCCAATTCTTCACCTGCTTATTATTAATTTTAGTACTTTTATCCAAACACGTAACTGCTTATTTTTTAAATCAGCTTCAACACTTAAAAGTGCTTTTCAGCACCTAATGCTTATCAGCTACTCTAAATCAGCTAAGCCAAACGGGTTCTATATTAAGCCTTTAATTTTAGTCGCAAATATTAAGAAAAAAATCTATGATATACAACCATTATCGCACAACCAAACAAAAAGAGATATTAAGGAGGTATTAAGGATAGGTAATAAGTGATAACTTTTGTATATTTGGATTTGTAATTTATATTTCAATCAAATATTTATAGAATATGTATATTTGAATTTGTAACTTAACCATTTTAGATTTAAATATACGTTATATAAAATTAATATGGGATACACGTGCAATGCACGTGCCGATAAACTAGTTAGAAATAAGAACTTTCTTCTCAGAAGAAGACTTCAATATTTGAGTGATACAAGAAGTAACGTCACGCCAGCTAATAAATATCAAATTTTGTATTTTTTTTCTTTCTTGAACCTGACAATAAAATTTATCAATTATCTAAAAATCCGGTAGATTAAATAGTTTTCTCTATCCTTAACTAAAACTTTCACGTTTAAATTGCGCGTCTCTTTAATACAACTTACGCAACACAAACTCACCGAATTGAAAACAAAAGGAAAAACGAAAATTTATAGTACGAAAATGAGGAGCCAAAAGATTTTTAGAGAGAAAAAATTTCATTTTTGTTCTGAATTAGTGTTTGGACCCGAAATTTTTAATTTTCACTTAAAAATTTGAATTTTTTTAAAATACTATTTTCACTTAAAAAAAATTATTTTTCTGGAATTTTTCAATTCTCATGTCCAAAATCTCTAAAGAAAGAATGCAAAAAGAGAAAACTTTATTTGGTTTACATTTGAATATAATTTTCTTCGTAGAGGAGCTGATACAGAAAATCAATAATAAGAAAGTTTGCTTATCATTTGATTGAGCGTTCACGTGTCTAATTTTTATTGCATTCTCTTATTTGATTTGCTTAATCTACAATAGATTTCTAAGTCTGAAATACAATATAAAAGAAATGTTTTCCATTTAACCATTATCTAAAAATATTTACATTGTATTCTTGAAATATAAGTTCGATTCCACCATATGAGAACAACATTTATTATCAAATTATTGAGCGAAGAAGCGTCCAAAATTAGCTTAATGGTCAATTAAATGAAATTAAATATATTATTAGGCGACTTGGCGAAAAAATTTATTTAATCTGTACTTGTGGAAATCAACAAATATACGCAAGTTGGTGTGACACTACAATTATTTAAAAGACTATTGAGTGAGGAAATACCAATCAAGAGCCTAACACACAAAAATTTTATACCCCATTTGTAACAACAACTTCAAAAATGTCCTAGTCTTCTGAACAACAACAAAAGATAAGTTTGACCATTATGTACTAGGTAACTACTAGCACCCTTATGTCTGATTATAAAAAAAGAAAGATTAAAGAAGAGAAATGAAAAAGACAGAACTGTATATATAAATAGAAACATAGTTGGCAAAATCTGACAAAAGATATCTATTTCCCCCACCTCACCCCACCCCAACCCCCACCTCCCCACCCCCTCTTGAAGAGAGAGGAGAGGAAGCGTCCAAAGAAAAAGAGAGTCTTTGGTCTAAGAAAGAGTGGTTACCAAATCCAAAAGGAGTTGAAGAATTAAAATGTTGAATATATTCTGACTCTGAGCAAAATTCAAAAGCGAGTTTGGACCCTCTATAATATATGGTAGAAGCTTAATTTCTTCTCTTCTTCCACCAACTTGGATAGCTGATAGGAGTAGTACTTTTCTTGTGATAAAAAGAGTCCAAGCGGTTGAACAAAATCACGGGTCCAACTACTAGAAATACATAACCAAAAAAGTAAAACTCCTTTGCTATGATCTTCTAATTAGTCTGAATTACATACCGTATATCAAGAAACATTTTTTTTCTCTTTTTGCATGCGTTATTCACTACTAGTCTTTTTTTGATTCTGTGCTACCATTTTCTTGCTATGTTCCATCTGGGTTATAATTTTTCCTTGTTTTATATCCATTTTTCATGTGTTTTTTATTTTGTGTACTTTGAATTTTGGTTAAAAAGCTATTTTTGATGTAGTTAGAGTCTCTTACTTTTGATGTTGTGGTTTTATGCAGGAATTCAATGGCTGTTACTTAGCTCTGGGAGTTAAAAATTGAATCTTGAAAGTTCTGTAACCCATTTGTAAAGGGTGGAAAATGAAGTGTTTCTTTTACTTTAAGGATAGAAATAGAAATAGGGAAAGAAAATCAGCACCAGTTGTACTTCAAGATCTGAGCAAATCAGATATATCAGGTGGTGGTGCAGAAAGGGTGACTAAGTCTTCATGTTCAACTTCTTCTCCTCGTAGCTTCTCTGATTTGTATGAAGGGAAAGCTCAGAACTTGAGGGTTTTTACATTCTCTGAGCTTAAACAAGCAACTAATAATTTTAATAGATTACTTAAGATTGGAGAAGGAGGTTTTGGATGTGTATATAAGGGTACTATTAAGCCTGCTGATGGGAAGGGTGAATCAACTGTTGTTGCCATTAA